GCTTTTGCCGCTGAGCTAAATCCCCAGCCCCCTATTGCACAGTCTTGTTATGCTATGAACAGGCTGTTAAAATTACACTTTCAAATTCGCTTTGCCTGGACACAGGAGAACCCGAGGCTTCCACCGCGGATCCGGCAGGAGGCCCAGAGCTGCAGGCCCTCATTAGCGCTAAGGGCAATCAGACAATAATACTATTTGCAAACGACAGGTACTTTCCATTGCCAGCTCTTCGTTATTTATTTGCCCACCCTCTACTGCCCTCAAAGGGTAGAGAAGCAGGGGTGAATTTTATCCAGCAGGTTTGGTGCCTGGAGGCGTGATCACGCTGTGTTACGGGGAGGTGAGGAAAGCGTCCCCCAGTTGACCTGGTGATAACTCCCAATGTCCCAGACTGCCCTCTCCCTGGCCCCCAGACTTCTTCCCCGCCTTTGCCCCCCTCCTTAGAGCCACCTCCCAAGGCGGGGACGGCGCTTCTAGGGTGCAGGGGTCGCAGATGCCCCAGGAAACCTCGGCTGACTCCAGGGATGGGTGTACAGGGGTGAGAAGCAGGGGCTGCCCCCTCCCCGCCCCCTGGCTGGGAATGAACGAATGCTTTCCGGGAAAGGCTGCATCCTGCCCTGGGTCACAAACCCATCCAGCAAAGAAAAGGGGGGTTTTCTACCCAACACTGCAACAACTGGCTCAGGTACTCGGGGAAATGAGCCCGAAGCGAGCTAATTTGAAATTCGCGGCCCCTTTCCCCTAAACTTCTTAGCTTCTGCACACCAAACAAGGAAACATCACCAAACAATAATCCTTGTACATCTGAACAATTCAACCTTGCCCGGGCCGTCAGAAACACACTGGCCAGCCCCACTCCAGCAGGGTCATTCAGAGTAGCGTGCCCTCATCACCTCCTCCTCCCTCCACGGCAGCCCCCCACGGCGGACTGTGTTATTGTCCTCGTTTTTCAGTGAGGAAACGGAGGCACAGAGGGCTAACAACTTGCCAGGTCCCACGGCCAGTGGCCGCAGTCCCCCTCCAGAACCGCACCTGACCGCAGGTGGTGCTATACGCTGTGCTACGACCTCCGGTGTCCGTGTAATACTATCCCTCTCACGGCACTGGCACTGTGAACACTGCTAAGCACCTGCAGATGCGTGAACTGGGCCTAATTTCCAACCCTGTGTTCTTGTCCCAGGAGACCCCGCTTTCCTGCTGGGGGAAGTGAAGGTGAGGGTGGCATGGTCTGCACCCCCGGGCCTCTCGCATCCCAGCACCCACAGCAAGGGCTAGGGCGGAGGAGGAGCCACACAGCAGCCTAACATTCTAAGCAGGAAATTAAAAAGGGCACTGGCAGAGGCGCCGCCTAACCTTTACAGCTCCCTCCTCCCGCCTCCTATGGGCCAGAGAGGCAGTCTGTTTGCCTAATGAGATGTTCCCCTTCTTCCGAGACAGTGCTGTGGGCTATCAGGTCGGTATGCAGGTGACACCAGCACCGGTGCCCAGGCCGCCGGGTCCTGCTCTGCTTCGCTCTGCTCTGCCTGCCTTGGAGGGAGGTCTCTGCACCAGTGTCAAGGAAAGAGCAGCTCCTGATCTGCTCCCGCCCCGGGGGATGGGAGATTAATGAGAGAACGTTTGTCAAGTTTGCTTTGATCCTCGCTTGGAAAGAGCATTTCAGCCCAAAGTATAAGGGAGATGATTCTTTAATAAGATCTTCAGGGTTCTCGGCCAGCCAAGTCCCGTCCTATCAGCTCATTAAAGCCCAGAGGCGACTGTGCTGCCCAGCTTCTGGGGAACCAGGACTCAGCTGCTTTCAGGCAGCTTCTTCTGCCCAACAAACAACAGCTCTTTAAAGCCCTGGAGGGGGATTTCCGAGGACCTGGGGATCCCCCTGCAGACTTGGGGAGCTGGGACCGGGCCCTGGGTCGTTCTCTGTGCAGGGGTCACCTCAGCCCCTTCCTTGCCTCGTCCCCGGGGCAGGGGACAGGAGGGCCCCGTGGGACAGTCTCTGCAGCCCAGGTGCCTGGGCCTAGCACACAGTGATGAATGAATGAATCAGGGCCAGAGAAGTCTGAAGAATAATTTCCAAGGCAGCAAACCCACAGCCAGAGCTGTAAGGTGCTGACACTGTGCTAAGTACTGTGAGCTAAGTGCTTTACAGATGGTGTTTAAATTCCACAGCAACCTCGTGATACAAGCACTGAGTAATTATTTCATCTGCGGTCTCGATGGAACTGGGATGCAGGAAGGAACTCGTCACATCACGCAGGTGGTGGGAGAGCGAGGCTGGGGCTTGACCGGCTGTCACTAGAGGGGCCACTCTGTCCCAGGTGTCCACCTACCTCCTCTCACCTGCACGGAGCAGCAGCCCCAGCACACCTCCTCCTGGGTGTGGTGTGCAGAGGAGCTGGGTTCCTGGGTTTCAGGTTTTCTGTTTTTTAGCAGTGGAGATTGTACCCAGGGCCTGCTAGGCAAGTGCTGTGCTAGCCTACATCCCCAGTGTGTATTACTTTGAGACAGGGTATAACTAAGTTGCCTAGGCTGGCCTTGAACTCCATATCCTCCTGCCTCAGCCTCTAGGGTCACTGGGATTACAAGTGTGTGTAATTACACCTTGCTGTTAACAGATTTTTTTCTTTTTCTTTTGAGGCAGGATCTCCCTATCTAGTTCAGCTAGACCCTGAACTCACTATTTAACTGAGGCTGGCCTTGAACTCACTGCAATCCTCCCGCCTCAGCCTCCTGAGTGCACCACAACACCCAGCCTAGATTTTCTCATACTGAACCATTCTTGCATTCCTGGGATAAATGGCACATGATCAGAACATTATTTTACATATTGCTGACTTCTGATTGCTAATATTAAGATTTTTCTTACATTTATAAAAGAGATTGACTTGTAATTCTTTGTCTCATTTCTGGGATCAAAATAGACTGATGGGTTTTGGGAAAAGTTTGTATAATAGAATTGTTTTTCCAATTGCCTACAAATTTCTGGTGGAGTTTTAAAAATTTGTGTGAAGGTAGATTTTATTTATTTATTTATATATTAATTGTGGTGCTGGGGATTGAACCCAGAGCCTCGCACATGCGAACTGGGTACTTTACCACTGAACTGAGGTAGATTTTACATTAAAGCTCTTCAACGGTTTTAGGCCTTAAAAACCTACATAACTCCAGGGCTGGGGATTTAGCTCAGTGGCACAGTGCCTGTCTGGCAAGCGCAAGGTCGTCAGTTGGACTCCCGGTACTGGAAAAACAAACAAACAAATGAAAAAAACCGAAAAACTTATATAACTCCTTCAGTCAGTTTGGTAAGTTTTGTTCCTATAATATTGTCCCAAAGCCTTTTTTGTTTTGTTTTTGGTGCTGGGGCCAGGCCCAGGGTAGTTGTATACTAGGCAAGCCTTCTATCCCTGAACAACACTCCTGACCCTCCCCCGAAAGCTTTTGTTTTTCTTTCGTTATTTTTTTATTTTGTTTGTTTTTGGTGTTTCTTCCGGTACCAGGAATCGAACTCACGACCTTGCACTTGCCAGGCAGGCGCTTTGCCGCTGAGCTAAATCCCCAGCCCCTATTTTTTATTTTGAAACCAGGTCTCGCTACATAGCTGAGGCTGACCTCAAACTTGTGATCCTTCTTGGCTCAGCCTCCCAAATGCGGAGATTACAGGTGTGCCCTACCTCATCTGGCTGAATTATCTTTTATTTATAATTAGGATATCCTATTTGTCTAAGTTAAGTGTATTTTTTAAAATTTCCAGATGTTGGGGCTGGGGAAATGGCTCAGTGGCATAGCACCAGCCTGGAAAGTGCAAGGTCCTGAGTTCAATTCCCAGTACCAAAAAAATATTTTACAGATGTGGATTTCTTTTCCATTTATACTTACAACTTAATTGTGGAAAAGAATGTGGTTTGTACAGTACTCTAATAATTGCTTAGATTTGCTTCGTGCTTAAATTGGTTTGGTTGCCAAGACAAACTGACAAATAGCTCCATGGGGCGGGAAACTCAGGGACAGGCACTGGGCTGAATACCTGACACTGTGCAGCAGGGGATGGCGGCAGGAGGAGGAGGACCGAAACATCGAGTCACGCAGAAATGTGGGTGCTCGTCTCTCCCTGGGCTGGATTTCTCTGCGCCTCCTTTCCAAGCCTGTCGGTTGTGAAGCTTAGCATCTATCCCACAATGCGGCTGCGAGGACTAAATGAGTTCATCCTAAACTGGCCCAGGTCCCCGGGGCCAGTACTAGTCACTCTTTGTGTTTGTTTTTTCCTTTCTTTGTTTTTTGAGACAGGCTCTTGCTACGTAGTCCCGGCTGGCCTTGAACTGAGGGATCCTCCTGCCTCAGCCTCCTGACTGCTAGGATTACAGGTGTGCACCACCACCCCCGGCAATATTATCTTATAAAAATTGTATGACCTACATTTTCCTACGGTGTCAGAACAACATCTTCCATAAAACTCGAAGTTGTCTGGCTTTATCTTTTCCATGTCAGTTCACTACCCTCAAGGCTCAGCTCCCAGAGGAGGAGGATCCCAGCGGTCACCGAGGCCAGGTTTTCTGTTACACGGATGTTTTCGTTCCTTCCTGTACTCAGTATTCACCGAGGGGCCTAGTTAACTAAGCTCCTGCCCGAGCACACGCAGGGTCACAATCCTTGCTGTCGGGACTTGCAGAGAGGGAGAGGGCTCCTTGCCGGGTTGCCAGCCTTCGGCCCTGGTGTCCAGGAGGCCCCGGGCTCATCCGGTCTCCGGGCCAGTGTCCAGGAGTCCAAGGCCTCGGACGCCGGGTCCAGCAGGACCGGCTCACCCCCACGCGGGCGAGCAGCCCGTGCACAGTTCCCCGCCCAGCTCCGGGCCCCAGAACCAGCCCGAGAGCTCGGGGTCCGCCCAGACAGAAAGGGCGCAGGCTCTGGCGCGTGCACAGTTCCCCGCCCAGCTCCGGGCCCCAGAACCAGCCCGAGAGCTCGGGGTCCGCCCAGACAGAAAGGGCGCAGGCTCTGGCGCGCGTCGGGGACCAGCGGGGAACAAACTCACCTTCCGTCGGTCCCCGCTCCCGGTGTCGCCGCTGGCTCGTAGGTGCTGGGCCCGGAAGCGCGCGTCCCGAGCCGCCTCCGCCGGCGTCGCGCATTCAAACTCCGCGCTCCTCCCGCGCGCGAGCTCCATTGGTCGCCGTCCGCTGCGCGGATTGGCTGCCGCCCGAGGGCGGTCAGGGCGCGTGCGCACTGAGTGGCGGCTGTGGGCGTGGCCACCCCGGTCCCGCCGGGCGCCCTGAGGCGGCTACTGCGCACAGAAGGTGGCTTCGCGCGCGGGGAGCTGACGCAGCCGCCGT